GTTGGGCTTGGCCAACTACCTTCACAAGTACAGCGCAGGGTACGCGGGCTTCGCTAAGCCCTTGTCGAGTCTCCTTCAGAAGGACGTCGACTGGCGCTGGGAGCAAGAGCACCAGGATGCTTTTGACAGCATCAAGGCCAGTCTCCAAGAGGCCCCTGTCCTGGCCCTGCCGGACGAGCCGAAGCCGTTTAGCGTCGTCTGCGATGCCTCCGATTACGCCATCGGATGTGCATTGCTGCAGGCCGACACGGCTGGACACGAACGAGTCATCTCGTTCCAGTCCAGGCAGCTCAAAGCCGCCGAGCGGAACTACCCTGTCCACGACAAGGAGCTCCTGGCAATGAAATATGCCCTTGTGAAGTTCCGTGTTCACCTTCTGGGCTCTAGGCCCTTTGTGATCTACACAGACCACGCGTCCTTGAGGACGGCGGCTAACTCGCCTCACCTCTCTCAAAGGCTGGCGAGGTGGCTGTCCTTCTTCGCGGAATACAACTTCCGCGTCGAATACAAGCCGGGCAAGCTCAACGTGCTTGCGGACGCCCTCTCTCGGCGTCCCGACTATGAGTTGGCCCACATCACGCGGGTGACAACGGATCTATATGATCGGATACGCATGGCGTATCGGGACGATAAAGCTGTCACGCCTATCGTCAAGTTCCTTATGGCCGGAACGAGCGCGAAGACCGACTGGCTCTCGTCGCGACAGCGCTCACGGCTCCACCGATATGGGTTTAAAGAGGGTCTCCTCTATTAACGGGTGGAGCCCACTGATCCTCCACAGGTGGTCGTACCCAACGACGAGGATCTGAAGTTCGACATCCTCGCGGAGGCGCATGACGCGCCCTCCAGCGGCCACTTGAGCCGCGAGAAGACCTTTCTGTCGGTCTCTCAGTCCTTCTGGTGGACCCACATGTACAAGTGGGTCGCCCGGTACGTCAAGACATGTGAAACATGTCAGCGGGTCAAACCCGCAGGGCACTCTTCGGCTCCACTACAGAGCCTGCCCGTACCGGCTGATTGTTGGAAGTCGATGAGTCTTGACTTCATCTTTGGGCTTCCCGCCGACGGACACGGCAACACCGGGATTTTGGTGTTCGTGTGTCGGCTGAGCAAGATGGTACATCTTGCTCCAGTTCCCGTCACTGTTACGGACGAACAAACCGCAAGGTTGTTCGTCGATGGCGTGTTCCGCTATCACGGTCTCCCGGAGACGATTGTCTCGGACCGAGACCCGCGGTTCACTGCTGCGCTTTGGAAAGCGCTGCTCCCTTTGCTGGGAACTCGTCTGCAGATGTCCACTGCGGACCATCCGCAGACAGACGGCCAAACAGAGCGCGTCAATCGAGTGCTCGAGGACACTCTGCGCAGTGTGTGCGCAGCAGCACCACGTACGTGGTCGACGCAGCTTCCAGTTGTTGAGTTTGCGCTCAACAACGCGGTGCACGCGTCCACGGGGTTCACGCCGTTCTACTTGAACGGCTTCCGCCACCCCAGAGTGCCTCTCACTCTTCGAGAAGACACTGACTCCTCTATTCTAAGTGGGGGAGAGGCTCGGAAAGCCTTTCCTCCCAGGTCTCGGATGTGAGACCAGTTTCGCTGCGGAAACAGGTGGAATCCTTTATGGATACCAAGCTGAACATTGTCAGCAGGGTCCGCGATGCCATGGCAGCGGCCCAAGATAAACAAAAGGAGTACTCAGACAAACAAGAAAGATGAAACTTAAGTATATATGAGGTTGGGGACTTAGTGTTGCTAGACACGAGGAACCTACCTCTTGACACTGTCAGCTCTGTCGGCAGCAACAAACTGAAGCACCGCTTCATCGGACCTTTTGCAGTCCTGGCCAGACATGGTGCGTCGTACACCATCGACCTTCCAAAGTCAATGACGACGCACCCGACGTTCTATGTCGGACCTCTTAAGCGGTACTTTGACCCGCAGGGGGTTGCTGACTCGCAGACCCCCCTTGACCCAGCTCCTCGAAGCGAGGGCCAGTCACAGTCGTTGACGAGGTCGTCGGAGCAGGCACCCAAGCCTCGGTCGGGACGGCAAGGCTGCGGTCAAGACCGTACGCCGGAGAGGCTCCATACGAACGGACCCCGGCGACATACGCCGAGTACGCTGAGTACGCCGGGTACGCACCATACGCGTACGTCTGGGAGTGTGCCGCGGGCGGCTCCGGACGTGGCAACAAAGCCTCGATTCGTCGGATCATGCGAAAGGCCTCGTCCAGATCGGACGAAGAGGCCCGGCGATCCACCCGCAGGTGCAGGCTCGCGACCTCTCGCTCCACCAGGTCCAGGCGGCCCGCAAGACGAGCGAGCTCGCCCTGATTCCCGGCCTGGGCGGTAGCATTACCGCCAGTCCCAAGGCCAAGTGCAATCTCAAGCACGAGGACACGTTGACGGAGGCGGTCAACCTCAGGGTCCTGTGTCGGACCCGCAGTCGGAGCACTCGGACGAGAGTGGCTCTCGGGAGGCGCCGAGTACTCGTACTCGTACGAGGGCACCTCCGCCCCTGCTTGACCGGAATGGAGAAGTCCACTTCCACGTGGAGCAGATCCTCCAGGAGCAACGGCGTCGCGGTAAGCGACAGATCCTCGTGAAGTGGAGGGGTTATGCCCACTCCGAGAACTCGTGGGAGCCGATTGAACGGCTCCTGATTGACTGCCCGAAGGCTGTCGCAAACTGGGAGCAGAAGAGGCGGCAGCTTCATAAGTAGTCCGGGGCTTCTTGCCCGAATGGGGTACGGCCGATGAATACATACCGTACCCGCGCTCATCGTGAGCGCTAGAAGCCGCGCGCTTCAGGATGTCCCTTGGCAGCATACGCTTGCTGATCAAGTGGGCAAACCTCACACAAAGATCACGCTGGTCCAGGATGTGGGACAGCTGCTGATCTTCATGGAGTTCCCGTAACTCCGTGGGTGAGTACTTAAGAGTCTCCACCCACGCCCAGAACATGTCCTCACAAGAACTCCACGTGGGACAGTTCTCGGGTATAACCCAGGGGTATCCCCAAAGAGGATAGAGACTACCCCGGGTCTCGGGCTTCTTACGACAAGTCGTGAAGTCCTTAAGGGGAATGCGGTGTGGCGCGAGAAGCACACACCGAGCAGCCTCCAAGTTGTCGACGAACAACTGTTCTTTCTGAACAAGGGCTCGTTCATAGATGCCCCTAGAAGTGTGGCCCCTCGGCAAGCGAGAGACGTTTGCGAGGATTCTCTTCCTCATCGCCACCGGCTTTGGGAGCGCCCTTAGCCTTGACGGCCGGACTCTCAGAGCGCACAGAGGTCGTGGGACTGTGATCACCTTGATCACTAGCGAGCGATTGCCCGCTGTCATCTTTGTGCTCACTGGGCACTGGGCTGTGCCCTCCCACCGAGCCCGCAGGAACATCATGAGTGCTCCCGGACTCGGCATCGTCCTCACTGCCCGAGTTGAACTCACGTTCCATGAACCGAGGGTTCGGACGATTGTCTGAAGACGAGGGCGACGGACTGCGGCGCTTGCTTGCTCGCTTGTCCACAGCCGCGTCACCCGAGGAACCGATCGCCTCGGAGGCCACCTGAGTAGCCTCCTTGAGTGCCGAGCCTTTGCCGTGAGGCTTAGTGCTCTTGGCTTGCGCCTTACCGGCAGCAGCCTTGGAGCGTGTCTTAGCCCCGCTCTTTGTAGTGCCACGAGGCATAATTAACAGTCAAAGTGGAAGACCTGGAAGAAGAGCGCACAGACTGCTGCTCGAGGCTCTAACTGTGAAGTGAGCCTCCGCCGCGCTCGTGCGCGCAAAGTCGAGGGTTTCCGACTTTGAGAATGAAAGTTTGTGACGAACACCTCTTCATTCTGATTGGTCGGTAAACCGAACCTAAGTCGAAGGGATGTAACGGGGTACGTAGCCCTTAGTGTACCCTGGTTACATGAAGTGTTACACTTCACACTTCAGGTGTATGACACGTCATACTCCGGGATATTTGATACAAGGTACCAAGGTCGTTCAAGCCAACCATTGGTTAAATGACATTGCATTTCTATAGGTAACTAATAGTTTGTATTAAACCCAAACTTAACCTACCTATAAATATACTCAGTTTACAATCTACCTTATTTAGGTCACTTCGCTCTCTTTAACTAAAGAGGGGACCTGTGAACTGCCGTTCACTGAGAGTCTGTATACTCTCGGAAGCTAGCGCAAGGTGCTGTGTGACCCCGTCACAGGTATTGTGTCGAAGATGGATTTGAAATTTGTACTTAATTAAGGTAAATCAAAGTAGTACATTTGGATTTCATCTGTTCCTCTATAAATATTCGCAGCGTAGACTCTATATGGTCCACCCCGCCGAATACGAGGTGCACGACTGTAACAAGATCGTACCCGAGAGCTTATAAGCACTTTTCTGACTCTCAAGAACGTTCTCGAGCTTGCCGTAGAACTCACCAGGTTGAATCCCCTCGTATGGGTGGGACTCCATGTGGTTGCCCTTGTAAAAGCGATAGTGAGGATCAGCCTTATAGTCCGAAGACAAGTGCTTCTCCAGCTTATTGAGGCTGATTTTGTACTGCATAGCCACCAGCTTGAGATTGCTGGGGCGCGATAGGTTGCTAACATAGACCATCTTACCAGTCTTACCGCGAACCTTCACCCGGTAGCTACTACCCCATTTAATTGCTCGAATATTTAATCTTTTTAGTCCTTCAAGCTCGTATGCGAACATGTTTCTTATATATTTACAGCTATAATTTTCTCGGTTGGATGACTTTATAGTATTGAGATCTTGTATCAGGATCGACTTTATGTCTCATCTCAAAAAAAATGATTAATTAGCTAAGTTCGGTTTCAGCGCTACGTTCGTTTCCATCCTCATTAAGTTCGATTTTGGGCTTCCGAGCTCTCGATTGTTATCGTCGTAGCTCTTTTGGAAGTCTATGCGACAACCTTCTATCCGCTTAAATACGAACGGAAATTCTCTCCCTCCGCTCATTCCAGAATCCGCTGGCTCGAGGAAAGATGGTGGAGGTCTCACTGTGCTGCGCAATTGTCGGGAAGGAAGGAGGCGTGTTCGGTGTGAAGATCGACAAAGGCGTCCAGGTGTGGGAGTTGAAGGACGCGATCAAGGCGAAGAACCCGAACGACTTCAAAGATGTCGATGCATACAAGCTGCAGCTCTTCCTGGCGAAGAAGGGCGACGCGTGGCTGCCGGACGACGACCCTGCTGCACAAGATCTGGACAAAGGGATGATCCATCAGGATGTACAAGCCTTGATTGATGGAGAGAAAATGGTGGCGACGTGGACGGTCGAAGATTGTTTGATAGCCAACAAGATGACAGGACAGCAGTACGCCCCGAAGTCGAGACAAGTTCACGTGCTGGTGGTGGTTCCTGACGAGGCTGGAGGTGCCGTGGCGTCAGTTGAGCCCTCGGCTGCGCCAACGACAATTCATCGTCATCCCGAACGCCTCAAGCGATGGGCTGCAATTAATGAAATGATCCGACAGAAGAATCGAAACGGAAACGAGAAGACGAGCAATCAAGAAACCAACAAGAAGCGAAAAAAGCACGATGTCGACAGGCCTGTGGGTTATTCGAGTCTTTGTTGGGAAGATATCAATCCTATATACAACTTTGAGTCTTACAAGCCTCAGCCAAGCGATGTACCTGACGCCGACATCGACCTACTCCTCGCTCGTATTGTTGACTTACGGAAACTGTATGGTGAAGTTACCGACGGGACAGATGCGAAGAGATTATTTTTCATCGCTCCAATCCTCGAGACAGTCAGCCGTCTGCTCGGTGATGTCCAGATATTAGTGGAAGAGGACATGAGTGGAAAGAACGTGCTCGTTAAAGGTCGATTCGAGTTTGTGTTGGAGCGTGGCAATAAAAAAGTATTCATCGTCGAGGCAAAAAAAGAAGATATGGAGCAAGGAGTTGTTCAAAATGTGACGGGGCTCGAAGCGCTGGCTGATGTTGAAGAACTTTCTGTGACTTATGGCATCGTGACAAACTACCTCGAGTGGAGGTTCTTAGTCAGTGAAGACGAGAGGGTTCGAAAACAGGTATATTCTCTCAGTGTCTCGGATACGCTACCGTCGTTTGCAGGATTGAAAAAAGTCGTCGGGACGATTCATTGCATGCTCTCGAATAATCAATGAGTACACATCAATCAAGAAGCCACTGCGATGCAATCGAAAGCGTCGTGTCGCAAATTCTTGGATGCGTTGGCGCAGAAACTCACCAAATTGTTCGACTGTGAGAACTACGATGAAATCAAAAAGCGCCATCGTAGTTCTAACAGCTACAGATGTGTGTTTGCATTTGAAAAAATATCATCCACACGCGTAAAAAAAGTCGTCCTCATAATATAGTTAGTAATATAGAAAGTTGGCGGCATACTTACCTGAGCAATAGCAAGCTAACAAGGAGCGCATTAATGCAGCACAGAAGCGCTACTACCAGCGCACACGCGAAGCGCGCTTGTCCTTTCAAAAGAAATACGACGATAACAATCGAGAGCAGATCCGTGGTCGGAAGCGAAAGCCCAAAATCGAACTTAATGAGGATGGAATCGAACTTGGCGCTGAAACCGAACTTAGCTTATTAATTATTTTTTTTTAAATAAAAAGTCGCTAGTGATTTGAAGTCGATCGATCTCAATACAATAAAGTCATCCAACCGGGAATAATATAGCTGTAAATATATAACAAACATGTTCGCATACGAGCTTGAAGGACTAAAAAGATTAAATATTCGAGCAATTAAATGGGGTAGTAGCTACCGGGTGAAGGTTCGCGGTAAGACTGGTAAGATGGTTTATGTTAGCAACCTATCGCGCCCCAGCAATCTCAAGCTGGTGGCTATGCAGTACAAGATCAGCCTGAATAAGCTGGAGAAGCACTTGTCCAAAATCTGAGCAATACCTCTGCATTCGACAAGCCGGTTGCCATCAACAGCAGGAGCGACATTCGTAAGGTTATTTCTGAGATTCACTCAATGGAGCTGGCTGATAAACTCAACTACCCAAACTCTGGGTACATGGTTAAGGCTATTACAGGGTTCAAGATTTTCGTATATCACCGAGAGCATGCACTTGGAGATAGTGAAGCCGTTATCCCCAAAATCATTTGAGATAATAAGAGTGTTATCAACTTCCCTAAGACCAACAACAAATGTGTCTTTCACTGTATCGCTTTCCACAAGTATAATGATCCCAAAAAGGATCCGCGGAAGATTCAGTCGTTGGTGAAGCAGGCTTTTAAACAATACTGCGCATTCAAGGGTATTACCTACACCCTCGGTTTACATCGAAGTTTCACGCCTATTGATATTCTCCAGTTTGACGAGCTTGAGGAGTGCTTCAAACTAAGTATCAATGTCTATACTATTGATATTGACTCTGGAAAGGTCGATTGCATCCGTCCATCTGACAAGGACTACCATTCGGTCGATAACCTTTCGCACGATAATTATGCTCTATACATTAAGAACCTGGACGTGCTTCAGCGTAAATATCAAGGTGGAAAGTGTGATTTGGTATTCGTTAGCTCTGAAAAGCATAGGAACCATGTTAGAAATAAGTGCGAGCTTGTCAATGTCGAATCATTCCCAGCTAACCCTACAATTTATCGCTCTGCTCCGAACACCATTGGTTCCCTACTCAGGAAGTATTCTATTAAGAGTATTGACCAGTACATCGATCACTTCATCGTCTATGACTTTGATGCTATTCTCAGGCCTACGGCTACTAAGCATGGGAAAAATACTGACTTCACAAACGAGCACATTCCGGTGTCGGTATCAGTAGCCGATAGCTTAACGGAGGAGGCTCGTTGCTTCGTGAACGATAATCCAAAGGCCTTGCCAAAGGATATGTTCAGCTACATCAGCGCTATTGGTGAAAATATCCAAAGATACAATGTCTCCAAGTATGAGTCATTGCTTCGTAAGATCATCAATGCTCATGATTTGAGAGGTATGGAGATTCCAGGTGTTAAACTTGGTAAGAAGTATAGTACCAATGATGTAGATGATTGGATTACGGCCGGCGATTTTGCTAGTTTCTTCGATTTCCTCATCAAGCTAGGCTTCGGGAAGCAGCGCTCTGATTATGGTAGAATTAAACAAAGGATTGATCAGGTACCAGTACTTGGATTCAATATTGGTCGATATGATATCAACCTAATCAAGAGCGACTTGTTCGCCGTTATTGGGACAGATCAGTTATCAAGAACCCTTCTTACATGTGTATCGCAACATCGGACATGAAAATGCTCGACATCAGCAACTACGTTCCAGCTGGAACTAGCTAAAGCAATTATCTGAGCACATATCTCGGAGAGTGCAGTTGTGATGACAAGGTTCGGTGTATGTGTGGGCTAGGTAAGGGTATATTCCCGTACGAACACATCACTTCATTTGATGTTCTCAGTGAGAGTAGTATCCCACCTAAGTCAGCATTCGATAGTAAACTTCGTGGCACCAGCATTAGTGCTGATGACTACAAGCGGGTACAGTTTGTGTGGGAGCACTATGGGATGCAGTCGATTAAGGAACTTCTAGTTTGGTACAATAACTTAGATGTCGCTCCATTCATTAAGGCCATTAAGGCTCAACGCGAGCTATTCAAGCGCTTTGACCTCGATATGCTCACCGATGGTGTATCCTTACCAGGTCTTTCGGAGAAGGTTATGTATCAGACATGCTTCAATACTCTCCAGCACCCTAGTAAGAAGCCTGCAAGTGCGCTCCGATTCCCAGCTAAACGTTTAGCCGGGTACAAGATCCAGGATGCTAGTGCTAACCGCGAGTTCAATATGAGTCTCAAACACCTAGACAAGCTGCTACATCAGCAGAAATTGCTTTGTGGGCTATGCTACCAGCAATTAACTATCGAGACGGCCTCAGCCGATCGTATTAATAACAAGTTGGGGCATATCGATGGCAACATCTTGATCAGTTGTGTCGAGTTCAACGTTGCTCGTAAGGATATGTCGTTGAAGGGGTTTCGATACAAGAAGCTCCTTGAGTTCAACTCAGACAGGCTAGTTTATAACATTGATAAGGAGGAGAAAGGCATCTACGCTAAGATGAAAGCTAATATCGCTGGCGGTCCATCAATTATCTTTAATCGATATGCCAAGCGCAACGAGACGAAGATTCGAGGTGAAAAGATTTGTAAGAAGATCATTGGTTATGACGCCAACTCACTATATTTTTTGGGCGCTTGGTAATGAGATGCCATGCGGTCGATTGACTACGATCGACGCATATCCGGGTATTATTGATGATATCGATCTTCGGTTTCCTTGAGTGTGATACTCGTACACCAGACCGCTTGAGAGATCATTTTAGTGAGATGACCCCAGTCTTCAAAAATGTCTTGATCGATTGCACCGACGAGAAGGTTATTGGGTCTCATATGTTCAGCTACAATAACGCACGCAAGCAAAGTCGATCCAAAACCAGCTCGCAAGCTAATTGGAAACTATTTCGGAGAGAAGATACTCATTTGCACGCCATTACTGAAGTGGTATCTCTCCCATGGGATGGAAATCACCAAGACGTACAGCTTCTCTCATAAAGCATTTGCGCCATTCGTGGAAGCTGTATTCAATGCTCGACGGGGGGGGCGATGCTGATAAGTCTAAGGCTATGATTGCCGAGATGATGAAATCGGTAGGAAATAGTGATTTTGGGCGTAGTGGCATGGATATGAGTAAGCGTAAAGAAGTCAAATACGAATCAGATGATAAGGCAGTAAAGTCAAAGATTGAGCACTTCACATTCCACGGATTAGAGGAGCTCAATGGTTCCTGTGAGATTACTTTAATGAAACGTCGTCTCAAGAACAAGAACCCCATTCATCTAAGTATTGCTATTTATCAGCTAGCCAAGCTCCGAATGCTACAATTCTACTACGACTGCATCGACGTCTACTTCGATCGATCCGATTTCCAATATCAGGAAATGGATACTGACTCAGCATACATGGCTTTCAGTTGTGAGAAACCTTTTCAGAGCTGTATTAAGCCTGAGCTACGAGAGCACTTCCAAAAGCATAAATACGAGTGGTTCCCACGCGACTACAACGATGGGGTAGCGAAGCTCGATCGACGTACACCAGGATTATTCAAAGATGAATGGACAGGTAATGCGATGGTCTCTGCAGCGGGGCTGCCGTAGCTTTAGCGTCAGAGGAAGACGTTCGACTCAAAGAGTCACTAATACTAAGTTCCTTATCCAAAGGAACTTACAGCCCAAGACCAGGGCTCAAAGTTAACACCTTAACTTTTATGCTTCAAAACCAGAAGTGTTTTATTTACTATTATTGCGGCCAAGCCGCCTAGGGGTAAATGTATCTGTTTAACTATCTAGCATAGTTAAACCTAATCAAATGCATAACGTGTGGCTTTCGGCCAACGTACTGAGAGACCTTGTTAACTCTCCAACTTATGTACTGAGAGTTTGTTAACTCTCCGGGTACTTCGTACCCCTGTGTGTTCCACACTATGTAACCCCGTTACACTCTCCCCCACTAAGATGAGAACATTCCGTTCTCGAAACTTTCCTCAGCGAGGTCACGTCTTGTTAAGACGGCGGAGGTTACTACACCTCACCCCAGCGTTGTACAGCTCCGTGAGCTCACAAACGCCTACGCATCGTTGATGCCCAGCTTCTCGTCGTCGGCCCACGGCCCAATGTTTCAAGCGTAGCGCGCATCTTGCTCTCAAGCGGTCTCAGACCTACGCTCGCGCTCCGCGCCTACTCCAAGAGTTGCAAACCGCTTAGAGCAATGCTCTTGACTCATTCGAGTCGTCAACAACAGCTCAGCGGTTGAACACTCGCTTCACAAGCGATAGGTCGGTGGTTCGAACCCACCAGCGCACAGCCTTCTCGTTCCATGAACGATTGTTCACGCTTGGACAAGCTTAAGACAACACCCTTTTAGCTCAATGGTTGAGCGTTGGCTTTGAAGCCACAGGTCGGTGGTTCGAACCCACCAGGGCACAGCCCTGTCGTTCCATGAACGATTGTCCACGCTTGGACAAGCTTAAGAGCAATCCTCTTTTAGCTCAGTGGTCGAGCGTTGGCTTTGGAAGCCACAGGTCGGTGGTTCGATCCCCGTCCGGGACACCATTTTCGCTGTTACAGCGCA